TTTTAACGGGTTTGACTTTTATGGGTTGTTTCATGATATCAAATTCCTTTGTTTTATATATGCCATTTGTTTTTTTTTTAAGTTTTTGTTTCGTACCCTTTGCTTTAGGTTTAATTTCTAGTATTGTTCTTTTTTTTTCTGTGTGAACTATATCTATTAATGTTCTTGATTGCTTTCTTTAAAATGTTTTTTTTTGTTAATAATGATGTGTTTTGCGTATTTTTGTTATCTCTTGATTTCGTCATTGGACATCTTCGATCAACATGGTATGTTTCTAATTCTTTTGTTTGTTAATTTGTTTTGTACGTCATGTGTGTTCTTCCTTTTTGTGTTCTTTTGTTTGTTTGGTGAGTAAATTTGCAAGCATATGTTTTGTAGGTCTACGATTTGCTCCAAGATTTTCCATAAATGATTCACGTATCTGTTTTTCTTTTTGTTGTTTTGTTTGTTTTCTTTTAATTTATATGCTTATGTACATAGACTATCTTAAAAAAGAAGAAGAAACAGATCATGTCTCATAATTGGGATCTATTTTTGTCGTCGTCAGAAGCTATAACTCTTCTGTTTCGATGAGGATCCTTCTCTGCTCTATAGCATCAGTGGAGACAGTAATAGAGAGAATAATAGAGACAAGTAGTCTTCTTCTTGCAACGAGCTAAGATTCTTGTAATCTTTCACCAATACTTGGTCTTCCCTTCCCTATCTTGATCATGTATTTTTCACCACTACAAGGATGTCTCGAATCACAATATCAAAAATTTCCTCTGGTGTTAGGGATTTTCCAGAATCTTCACAATTCCTTAAGTAGTATGTCTATGGAGATCTGTCGCAATACCATCTTCGTCTCTTTCTCTCATGTTTTTGTTTTCAGAGGTAAATACAACAAGCTTCTTCAACAACAATACCAAGGTCTTCTTAAATCCAGAAAAAGGTAAATGACTAAATTCAATGATTAAATCCATGTCTTAATTGAAAGGTTTCTTTTAGAATTATGTCTATCGAAAAATGTCAGATGATGTTAAACAGAGGTCTTTTTTAATCTTATTTATGGTTGACAAGGTTTTTTTTAGGGTATCAACGTGTATGATAATGGAAACCCACCTCTTAAGGAATATTCGTTAGATTATGTAATCTTGGTTCGGTGATAGATGCGTAGACTTGCTTTATAGAGTAACTCATTTTTTCGGCTAAGATTAAATTTGTAATCAGGGTGAGTCTCATTCCTTGAAACCCTACAAGCATCATTACTGACGCCTACAAAGCCTGAAAGACTCTCCTCTTTGATTTTCAGTCAAACATGCTTTTTAGCTCAGCTTCCTCTCATCTGACCTTCCGTGCGGTAATTACCAAGCACAATCAACCTCCGCAACTTAGAAAAAGCTAATAATTGTTGCCTTTTATGTAAATCATTCACATGGGGATTTTTTTTTTTAAAATTTGCACAGATCGAAGAGGGTAATAATCACTCATTGAGTTCATAAGAACCAATTTATTATGGTTTGTGTGCATCTTTTATGTTCTTTGAATATTAATCTCAAGTTGTTTTTCTTAAACTGATTGTAAGATTTTAGCTTTATTAGCCAGTTTGTTTGAGCTGCAGTGAATGCATCGTATTATGGTGAATTGGAAATCTATTATATGTTGGTAGTTACCTCTTCAGTTATATCATATGAGTCTTTCTTGGAACATGCAACACATAAGAAGGTATCTAAATTTATCGTATGTCTTATTTTGTTCACATGTCGGATGTTAAAACATTTTTATTCAGTTGCCTTTTTCTTTGTAGGTTTGTGTTTTCTACTTTGGTTCTCTCAACTTTTAATACAGTCTGGAAGGGTCTCTTAACTACGCTTCTAACATTACCCTGTTTGAAATGTTTTCATATTATATCCAGCTTCCTTTTATGTGTTCTTACATGCCGCTAATGAC